GGGTTAAGAAACGCTTTCCAGCAGAAATTAGTGATGATAATAATCTGGTAAGAAACAACCCTACAAGAACAGTGATAGTCATTTGATTGATCATGTGATACTCACTGGTGATGGAGATCTCAACCAAGTACTTCTATCAACTTTTTAAGAGCAATATGAAAAACGTGATGAAAACATTTGTGTACATGTGATCTTCGGTCTTCCTCCAACTTATGGCATTATTTAATGGTCTCTTTTTAACCAACGCAAAATTTGCAAATGGGTTAGTAAGATAATGAGAATGTGTTCGTTTCCATCACACAATTCTTGTAGGGCAAGCTAATTTCGGCAGATTCTGTCATTCCAATGAAATTTGCGCCTTTTTTATTGGAAATTTCTTATTTGAACACAGCCACCCAATACACGATTATGAATGAGATTTCCAGTGCGAGATTTTACGCATTTTCGTAAATATTAAATTACCTTGGCGTCGGACACAAATTTTCAATGTTATCTGTTTGTTTCAACTTCTTATTAGACATTGTATTAATATTTTTCACTTTGTTTTTCTACACCTTATTTTATTGCCGATTAACACAAAGCAAATTAGGGTACGAGTAGAATTTCTACAATCAACAAGTGTAAGATTGCCAACTAGTTTACATTCCAGCAATACTGCGCTGCCAGCTACATGAAATTTACGTTGGTACCATGATAAAATTACATTAGTTGCGTTCCATATCTCCCATAATTAGTCAGAAGTTGCAGGAAAAATGTTCCCGTACTCCGAAATCCTCCAAAATCCTGTAAATGAGAGCGACTTTTGGAGAGTTGTGTAGAGAATGAAGTTGCAAGATTTTACCCGAAATTTTTCTTCTGGTAAAATCATGAAAAGTGTCAAGCAATCACTGGTTGACGTTTTTATAGGAAAAATGGTTTTTTTGTTCCCGTACTTTATGTTGTTACTCACTTTTTACTCTCACTTCAGAGAGTAATTTTGCTGTTTGACAGTTTTACAGGATTTTTCACGAAAAGTATTGGATCAGAGCTATTAAGTCCAAAAAGCGTTCCTTAACTCGAAAATTACAGTAAAAATGAGAGGGCAACACTCAGTGAGAGTGACGCTCTTCAGTACGAAGTAGTCAGATTTAGTCAGAAGAATTTTTTCTGGCAAAATCCTGGAAAGTCAAACTCAACTGAATTTAAATTAACTAATGTCACTAATGAGCAAACCTTTTATTATTGAATCATCTGTTGGTACGACGAAACATGACGAAAAAACAAAAATTACAATAACAAATTATACGCACATTGACAATCGGTACAAAACAAGATTGCAACAAACACATAATTTTGACAGAGGCGCAAATTCAGTGGATCCGGTAGCACCACCTTGTATAGATTCGCCTTGGGTCGAACATTCTATCATCTTCTCGTTGCTCGCATTGCGGCCAGTGATCGGATGCCTACCACATTGTGCTAGATCTATCACTTTTTTGAGCATCAACCACACAAGGTCTGAAATTTACCACATATTTTGAACAGTGGGCCTGTGCCAAATGATAGAAAAGAGAAAATTTTGACGGATCAAAGTAAAAATCTGGCATTTCTCGTGGTGAATAAGAACGTCAGAATTTTACCTAGCTCATGGGGCTAGGTAAAATTTTGACAGCTTATAACCATGTATACACATAATATTGCTTGGCGGTAATAAGGAGTGAACATGAAAATGAAAGCTGAAACAGCATAAAAAAAGCGTACGTTACTTGCAAATTATAAAATAAATATAAATTTTAAGAATTTCAGCAACACACAAAAATAAAGCTTTCGCACGAGCGTTTGTTTGGTTTTTCAACTGTCAAAATTTTATTCTGCATTTGGCACAGCAAAATTCAATTTATTTGTACACCATAGCAAATTTTACCACACCGTCTCACCACGGAGAAAAAAAATACCGATTGGCACAGGCCCAGTTTTTCTTTTTATCTCATCATGATGTAGCGAACAAATGTGGCACGTTCCAGAAACTGCTACTTGGGATTTGCCGTTTTTTGATAATTCTCAAGTAAAAATAAACAACGCTTTAGAAACTTTGATGCACTGAAATTTGCTAATACTTTCACAAAAATCGCCTTTTTTTAACATTTCGCTATTAATTATTTTTATAAATCATATATTTTGCAATTTGACACAATAAAAGCACGTTTTCTGTCGAAATATTGAATATTGAGAAAATTTAATATTTTGCAGTTTATTTTATAATGCCTGTTGTTAGTGTATAGTGTTGAACATTTTTTGCTCTTAAACTTGAAAAAATTATGTCGAGCAAAAATAAAACTACTCAAAAATGCGAATATGTGGTAGATGCTCAAAAAGTGGCGATCTACCACGATTGAGAGAATACGAAGGTTGCGCCGATCTCGGACCGCTATTCCTCTCTTAACGAATTTGACAGAATCGTTGTTTGCATGACGTCACACTTGTGCAACTTGTTTACGTTTTCCTTGCAACATTTTTTCTTCTTCTTCCATTCTTGCTCACGTTTTGGCATTTCTCTCTCGCAATTGCACCAGTGTGACGTCACACAAAAGTTATTCTCAAAAATCCTCTCTGATCGGCGCAATCTTGTATTGTATCATTCTTGGCGATCTACCACATTGTCATGACCCAAAAATACAAGATCACGTAAGAACGCGACGTTGTATTTGTAACTGGTTTTGAGAAAAAATCTTGCGAGAGCGGGTTCGTCAGCTGAGCGTTTGTTTACATCACAAGCACCACTATTTTACACTTTTATTCAAGTAAAGAAGAGTTAATTCAACATGACAACACATTTTAAAGCATTTTGTTGCATTATTTAACCTAAATTGTGCGTTTAAAGTGGATGGCAATAATTTTGGCTAATTTTGGTTTTCGTTGTTTTCTTTGCTTTGTTTACTTTTCGCTCGTTTTCCAGTGAAGCAAGATGGCGTAGAATCCGCTAAAAACATCGACTTTTTTCACTCTCTTGTTCTTACGTGATCTTGTGTCTTTCGTTCATGCCACATTGTGGGGTCCGATCACTGACCACCTTGTATAAATTCGCCTTGGAATCGTTGGTGAATAGCTTTCCAAAGCCAAGAGGAAGTTTCAATCAGTGTTGCCATAAGTACGATTTATCTTCAAAATTAACATATTTTTCATAAATAATCAGAAAAATCTTCACATGATGATATACTACGTTTATACGCACGTATTATTTCCAATCACAATTTGCAAAATGGCAAACTTCCATATAAACGTAGAGTTAATTTTTTTATTTTCAAATAACTAGATCACGCAAATAAGTATTGATTAGTGGTACTATTTGCAAATAATAAAGAGCGAAATACACCACACAAGCGGTTTGACAAACCAAGCGAAATTTCCCTTTGCTTCAAGCCATTTTTGCTGTGTATGGGGGTGTTTGAAGGTTTGACGGCGGTTTGTCAAACCTTCAAACACCCCCATACACAGCACAAATGGCTTGAAGCAAAGGGAAATTTCGCTTGGTTTGTCAAACCGCTTGTGTGGTGTATTTCGCTCTTAAGCGCAAGACGCCGCCAATCTTACTGCCATCACTAAACAAAAGCGCGGGGGGCGCGGGGGTTTCTAACACTTAGTCCCCTTTCAGACACGTCAAGTCTTGAAAGCAATTTTTTTCGTATTCTCTATTGAGTTTTCTATTTGCTTCCGCACGCGTCAACTTTAATTGAATTCAAGTCCTTGGTTCTTTAAATGGGAAGCAACGAAAAGATCAAAAGAGACAAGAAAACTTGAAACGAATTGACGGTACGGAGGTATCTGTACTCTTCCCCTCTCTTCTCACCTCCTTCGCCAACGAACGAGCAGACTTGAAAGCAAGACTTGACGGGTCTGAAAGGGGACTTAGCGTTAGCGCCGAAGTGCCATACCTAAACAAAAGCGTCAACGCTACGTCAAATGCAGAAATAAGACCAAAAATAAGCATAAGTTTGTTTTTGTGTAATACGAAACTTACGGTTTCGCCGTTTTCTACAGCCAACTTCAATACCTAAAGCCCGTAAAAATCGGATTTTCCAACCGTTCAGTGGCGTCAACGCATTGTTTCGGTATGCTTCATACAAATTGTATGGGCATGAGAATTTTTTGCGGAGAGACAACGCTAACGCTTTGGTTTAGGTATGGCAGTTAAGTTTATTTTCTTTTACGATGGTCATCTTATTGCCTTTTTTATAATCAAGACGTTGCTATTTTTTTAACTTTATTTTCTTTTTCGATGGTCATATTATCGCCGTTTTATAACAAGCCAACATTAAAAAATAATTTTGCACCATCGAATAAACAGTGAGTTAGGTAATTGCAAATTATTTTTATTTGCAAATGGCTTACGTATAAACGTAGTATATAACTAGCTTTATATAAGTATCATCAATATCCTACAGCGAGGATGAATGCAGAAATCCGGGGAGAGCTTTTTCTCAAATAAATTTGAACAAAACAATAATTCGAAATACGCTAAAAACCACCACCTTAAGTGGTATTCTTTATACAAAGGATTATTTAAAGAGGTACGGTCATAAGTGCCATGATCTAGATTTATTAAAATACTTTAAAAGTACAGTGTACAAGACTTAAATTAAGAAGTATAAATTCTTACACTTATGTATATGTGTACCAGTATATTTTTATAGTTCTCTAAAACTTTTAGTTAATTCCAATGTTTGAATAATATATAGTTGTAAAAATACAAATAAATATAGTTGTATGTATATTGAACCAGTCAAGTAAAACTGTTATGATTTCATTAACTTGTAATTTTGGTTTTTAAATAAAATGTGTTATAATTTTTTATAATCAATACAATTTTTATAAAAAAAAAGAAGCTTCTTTGTTAAAAAATGTTCAATAAAGATATTGCTAGAGACAAGAGATTTTTCCGTTCCAGTAACCTTTTAAGGTTTTTTTGGGGTTTAACACTTGGAAGATTTTTAACAAAATTTGTCTGGCAACACTGGTGGCGAAAGCAACTCGGGCTGGAAGTCTTTCCCAATCGTGCACGATCAAGAAGAAGAAAAATCTCGTTTTGAATTGGCGGCTAGTGAAAATTTGTTTTATGATTTATCAATAAATGCATATAATTTTTAATGGTGTAGCGCCTAACTAAAAGGTGAATATATTTTTGTGTCGATTACGTTATTAATTATTGTAATCGCATCTAATAGATGGTTGATGGACGGTCACTCACCCTCCGAATATCGCAAACCAATCAAGTTGAAAATAGTAAAAGCGGCAATAAAAAAATTGTAGGCCAACGATACAATACTTTCGATATATTGCGAGGTTGCTGCATTAAACTGCGTCGCATTAATTTTTTTTTGAACGTAAACAATTCTCGGTGTATGAATGTCACTAAAGTGCCACTGGTGCAGCATAGCACTNGAGGTTGCTGCATTAAACTGCGTCGCATTAATTTTTTTTTGAACGTAAACAATTCTCGGTGTATGAATGCCACTGCTTCAAAGAAAAGGGTGGTTTTGGTTTCTAAAGTGCCACTGGTGCAGCATAGCACCGCTGAATGCGAAGAGACAGTACCATCTATGTTTGTAACACAACAAAACCGTGAAAGAAAGGAAAGGCTAAATAAGCCGGACACACCAGCTAATAATCAAATGTTAGAAGACCTTGCGCGATTTCCTCATGTACAGGAAACTCTAAAGGGTTTGTAAGTCTAAATCTTGTATTTATATATTATTATTAAACGACTTTTTTAGGGTGCAAAAATCTCGTTGTAAAAGTAAAACGATTAGGGCTGGAAAAACAGCATAATAAATTGAAATCGTATAACAACGGGGATACTCTAAAGGGTTTGTAAGTCTAAATCTTGTATTTATATATTATTATTAAACGACTTTTTTAGGGTGCAAAAATCTCGTTGTAAAAGTAAAACGATTAGGGCTGGAAAAACAGCATAATAAATTGAAATCGTATAACAACGGGGATACTCTAAAGGGTTTGTAAGTCTAAATCTTGTATTTATATATTATTATTAAACGACTTTTTTAGGGTGCAAAAATCTCGTTGTAAAAGTAAAACGATTAAGGCTGGAAAAACAGCATAATAAATTGAAATCGTATAACAACGGGGATACTCATAATTCTCAAGACTCGGTGGCATATGAAATTGGAAACACAGTAGCATTGCAGGATCAATGCGCGCTTAATTTATTTGAAACGTCTGAAAAATCAGAACTGCAAGTGCCGATAACTATTAAAAACGCTGTAGTTAAATTGAAGCGCATTAAACCCCAAAGCCCTATTAGAACACTGAAAATCAACGCTTCACCACTCGGTTCGTATCTGCATATATACCTATGAGATAAATTGAATTTTTGCTTATTACGAATATACATACTTATTTGTTTGTTTGGAAATTTTTTGATTCATAAGAGATAGAAAATACTGTATGCACGAAGTTTTATGAAGTTCAAAACTCAGATACCCAACTAAAAACATCAAATATAAAAGCAGTGGTAAAATTAAAGCACATTAAACCGCGCTGCCCTATTAGAAGACCGACAACAAGTAGTTTACCAACCGGTTCGTACCTACTTTGAGATAATAAATTTGGGTTTTTATGTTACTTTAGGTGTACTTAATTTGCAATTTAAACTTTTTATGATACTCCAGATATAAAAAATCCAGAATGCAATAACGGAGCCGTATATCAGGATTTTTGTCATCATCAAAAAAACTCAAACCTTCAAGTAAGAGCATCAATAAAAAAAGCTGTGGTGAAATTAAAGCGTTTTAAACCTAAAAGTACCCCAGGGCCATTTGCGATTAATAATCCAACAAAAGGTTTGTGCATATAAAATAATATTTTCGTAGTTTTCTCATAAATACATAAATACATACATGTGTATTTTTATTTTAGATAACGAGCAATTGAATTTTTTTCAAACTCAAAAGTCAGAACCAGTAAAAGGGTCAAACGTGTCGAAGATGAAAACCAGATTTGGGGGTACGAAACGACCTACATTGGTACCAAAACCAAAACCAAGTCTGCCAGCTTTTCCAAAAAATAATGTGTTCCTTAAACAAAATGAACTCTTAACGGATTTATTCATAACACCCGAACGCCGAAACAGTATGAAAAAGCTTAGTTTAACTATGAGCTCAAGAAATCGGAAGATAGTAGACGGTGATGGCACATGTATGCTTGATTTATCTCACTTTAGTCCTGTAAGAAATTCGACTGTTTTTGGAGTAGCTGGAGGTACATGCGATAAAGGTGCTCACGAAGGTGAAATAATAAATTTGAATAAAAAAAGAGAAGACATTAATGAAAAGAGCAAAGAAAACTCGAATTCAAAAGGTAAGAAGCGTTTAAAATATTTTTGCTTCTATTTAAGATTTTATATTTGTTTCCGCAGAAGACGGGAATCGAAAAAGCTTAACTAATAAGCCCGAATTAATAGAACAATTGCTTTTTTCGGACACTGACGAAGACGAAAAAACCCAAAATCATTCAAAAAAGAAAAAAATCGCAACAAGTAATCAGACCCAACAAAGTAAAAATAAAACACAAAAATTTTTCCACCGGACACCAAAAAAAAAGTTGTCTTCGAGGAAAGCGCCAGATGAGCATAAAAGTATTTTTGAATTTTTGTCGCAATCTGATACCTCGGGATCAGAAAATGGTAAACACAGGGATCCAGCAGCGGATGTCATACAAAAATTAATATCGGAAGGAAAAGTGCGTGTGGCAGTTAATCAAAAAGGAAAGGGCCGACCTATTATAAAACGAGCTCGACCGAAAACTGAACGTAAGAAACAGCTTACAAATAAAGTAAAAACGTCTAAAGCGATAGGCAAACAAAAACACACTAAAACGACTGCTAATATGTCCAACATAAACGAAGGTCATAATAATAATAACCAAGGTGAAACATCATTCACCCCCGTACTCGAATTTTTTGAAGATGATCACCATGACGCCACTGCATATTTCAATGATGAGGCAGAAGCTGATGAACCTATCAGTGAAGGTGGTTTTAGTCGTTTAGCGCGCTCAGTACTGTTACAACAAACAAAAAAATATGAAAACACACGCAGAAACGACGTAAGTTTACTTTTCTTGTTAATGTTACATTACTTTTCACTTATGATAATTTTTTAATATTAATAGATCAGATATTTTGTGGCTGCTTAGTGCGCCTTTTAGCAATCGTGGTAATAGCAATTCTGATTCAGCCGGAATTTTCTTATTAATTTATTTTAAACGTTGAGTACAGTATGTTTTCGTAAAATACGCTCTTATAATAAAAATTAATAAGAACGGTAAGAACACATCTTGTTGGAACTACTACTTCCATGTATGTATTAAGTTCAATTATTTTTCAAGTCATACACTTTTTTATGGCAGTGGCGCGTGTAAATAGACAGTCCCTTTTTCATACGCATAAAATGTCTGCTAAGTGAAATTTTCTGCACTCACAGAATATTCGATTTTCGGAAATTAAGAAAGTTACTTGAATTCTTGAGTTTGACGGACTTTTCAAAACTACTTGCATGTGTCACGTCTAACAGCTACTTTTCTCTTATACATTTGCATACAGATTGCTGAGCAACGGCGGTTGCTCGAGATTGCACGTAAGTTCGTAAGTACACCAGCGCCGAACCGAAAAAGCGAAAATCTCCATACAGCCGACCTATCGCCCATTCAAACACTCGACACGCGCCAGCGTCCAGTGTGTCCTTCGCCCTGGCGAATAGATGACGAATCGCATCTACCAAGGACATTTAACTTTATTAAAAACACATCATATCTGCCAACGTTTTCGAGTGATTATATTCCTTCCACTCCGAAGAAAAACAAACTAAGTACTAACTCTTATGTATGTAATGAATCCAATGTGCAATGTGATACATTTACAACCACTGAGCAGGAAAATTTGCCCACCGTACCAAGAAATATCTCTGACAGTGACTCCGGCAACATGTTACAGGACTCGCTGGGATCTCGTAATGATTCGAATGAGGAAAATATCCCACCACCCGAATCACTGCCTACACGAATAGCTTCAAATAACGACGAGAATGACGAAATAGTTAATATGCGTCAACTACCTAACCCTCGTCGCACGCTTGAATGCCGAAGTCCGCTTAAAACCATTAATATATTAGAAGTGGTGACTCTACCACCTTGGAAAAAGCCAGTGAATAATGATGTGCAAGAAGAACCGTACGTTACACCAATTAATTGCGATAGCAAAAATTCCGCTGAATCACATAAAGCGGACGATTTATTTGGATTTGAGGAATATTTAGATTCCAGCTCAGATGATGGTAAGCCGTCAAATACAAACAACATAACAGTAACGAAAGGACAGTGGACACAGCGAGACTTGCATAAGAAACTGAAGGAGCTAAAGAAGTGGCGACCAAAAGATTCAACTCGCGATAAAACTAACGTTACAATTAAAAAATGCAGACTATTTGACGATAATGAAGGCAGGCCGAAACAACAGCTAATTAATGACATGCTCTGTTCTACCATGATTGATCAAAAGAATAAAAATCTCAAAGAGCAGGAAGAAAATATCGAAAAGAATCCGCCGTGTAGTTGGGAAGAGGAAAATGTGCAAGCAGTTGAAAACGATTTTTTCAATGACTTTGAACCAGCCGCAACATTTGAAAAAAAGGTAAGAATTGCTTAAGCAAATCCATATATATAAATAAAAGTATTTTCTGCGATTCTGCACATTGATATGAATCAGAGCGTATCATTCAATCATTGCTAAGAATATCGCAATAGTAAAGAATATTGCCTCAACACAAAATTTTGTCAATTGGAGCTCACAGGGCCTTGAAGAGTGTAGCACATCTTCGTTGGTAGTACGCAGCTCGTACATTTTTCATGGAATTTTTGTATCATTATAAAAACTATTTTCTCCATACACTTTTTGGTTAAGTTAATACATATGTACATACATGCATACCATCATATTTTATTTATTATTATTATTTTTTATTGTTATAGCCACAGCGAACATATGCCCGCCCTGTCAGGAAAAAACGCAAGTGTCGCAAAAGTTTCGTTATGTTTTCTGACAGTGAGGATTCAAACTCGGATTCTGATGAGGAGAAACGCGAGTATAAGAAAGGAGCTCAAAAGAAGAGACGACACGAAACACACGCTAATGCGAAGCAAAATACTGACCTAGAATCTTTTGTACACGATTTCAACAGTATGTGTAAAGAAGTGGAAAGTTATGAGTTGCATGTGGAGTAGATAGCTCAGTTATGCAGTTACAGTCTTCCGGTAAAAAATGGGAAACAGAAATTTCTGCTTAAAATGTAGGAAGCTGTTGGTTTTCGTATATTTAATTTTTCTTACGAAAATTAATTTTTCTAAAAGTTAAGTTCGGGTTGACTTCCGAATAATGCTGTGTATATGTGAACGGCCAAACCCGATCTTAGGACAATCTCGTTTTTCCTGGTCGAAATTAGTTCTATCCACATCCGATACATCCGTCTAACGCGAAATCAAGTTGGACGCAAAAATATTGTGGACTGCGTAGTTGGAGTTGGACTGATGAGGGTTCTTTGTTTGAAGCACAGAAAGGAGTTCTACTCAAAAATACTGTGGCGCCTAGTCAAAACTAGTTTGTCCTAAGATCGGGTTTGCCGTTAACATATGTACATATATATAAAATTAGTGTGGCATTTGATTACCTTTATCAATTGTCATTACTTAGACAAAGCTCTTATCCACACATTTGTTGTAGTATAAAATGAAAGGTAAAAAGTCGTAATGTAACAAGAAACACGTACTGAATTTTATTTTGGGATATTCTCTGAATTTTAACGTCAATTTTGATACTTGGACATCTATGTTTCCAATTATTTGGTGTTTACTGTATATCTTTGTGCGTACATATGTATATGCATGGATATTAAATCATGTATATTTTTAAATGTATGAAAATGTATTTTTTATGTTGCCTTATAAAGGTATTTTATGGGTATTTTTAAGTTACAAGCCAATTGGTACTTTATGTTAATTTTATTTTATGGCGCTATATATATATATGTATATCTATGGGCCAAATCACAGTGCGTAGTTAACCACCGACGAGAGTTTAACTATAGATTTTTATATTCACAATGCTCAGTTAACAAAAGTTTAAACCAACATAGCATGCCCCCTAAATAGTTAAACTCGTGTGAAAAGCATTTGTTTTGTGAAACGAATTTCAAATATGCAAATTTTCATAGTTAACCCTGTAACTCTCAAATATAAATTCGTAGTTAAACTCTTGTTGGTGGTAAAGTTAACAATGGTTTAACTAAGCACTGTGAATTCGGCCCTTAGTGAAATTTGTCTGTCCTTCGTTCACACAATTTTTTCATAGAGCATAGAATAAAATTTATATATGTATGTATACAAATGCACAAAGAAAAATAAATCTATGAAATCGTCATACCACTTGTCAAATATTATTTTTAATCAATTTTCAAAATGTTTGTACGAATGAGAAAAAGAGTTGAAGTTTGAAAGGAAATAGGCAGCGCTATAGAAATGCACTGATAACTCATAGATCCCAATGGTATCTATATATATAATACGCGAAGGCATTTTTTTGTTCAAGATAAAAGATCTACACCGTTCGTTCGATTTTCAAAAGTGGGGTGTCAAATTAAAGCGCTTGGCCTGTAGATGTGCAAACTGGTTTTATTTTTTCGAAAAGAGTTGCCACCTGTTGAACAATTAAATTCAAATTTTTTAATAATCATTACCATCAGATCCGTACGGTTCGTTCGATGTGAGGTGTCAAATTAAAGGGCTCCAGCTGTAGGTGCGCAATAAGGTTTAATTTTTTCGAAAATAGTTGCCACCTTTTAAAAAATTAAGTTCAGATTATTTAAAAAGCTAAATGGGTATAAATGAAAATGGTTTGAAAGGCTTTGTTTCATAGCAAAACTATAGGAGGGTTGCCGCCTGTTTAAAAAAGCATGTTAGGTAGGAGAAATATGTGTATCACCGTATGGGTGTCAAGCGAAACGGGTTTCAGCAAACGAAGGAGTGATAAGAAATCTTTAGTTTGAGCGCTAACAATATCTTTGAGGTTGCCATCTGTTTAAAAAGTTAAATTCTAATTATTTAATAAGTTAAATGAATTATTAAAATATGGGTATCAATCGAAAGGGATTTGAAATTTTTTTGTTTGTGGACTCTATTTAGCGGGGTTGCCACATTAAAGTTCAACTGATTCATCAGTTAATTAAAATATGTATCGCAGTGTCCGGCGAAGGAGAGTTAACAATTATTAAGCTTGAAAATACTTTTGAAGAGGGCTGCCACCTGTTTGAAAGGTCTAACTCAATTAACAAATTCAAAAAGTACCGTAAGTAACCGTACATTTCGAATGCTTGAAGAGAGTTGCAACTTGTTTAAAAAGTTGCATTAAATTAATTTAGTAAGTTGGATAAATTATTAAAAGAGGAGTATAATTCGAAATGTGTTTGAAAGGGACTTATTCCCGACCTTTACTTAGGAGGATTGCCATTTATATCAGTTTATTGAAATACATACATGTGCATCACAATGTTAGACGAAACGATTTAAGAAGACTAGTTTGAGAATACTTTTGAAGAGGAATTTCGAAAATGGTATGTCAAGTTAGATACCTTAGCCTGTAGATGTATGATAAAGTTTTATTTTTTTTTTTTAATTAAGAACTTTTTTCATCGGTAAAGGGTTACTTCAAATTCGAAGAAAACAAAAACATGCACTATGTGCGACTGCTCTTCACTCAGAAACGGTTTTGATGGAATATGGCACTCGGATCTCATAACTCTGACTAACATTTGGAATATTTTTTAGGTTTTTGAAATTAAATTTTGGACGTTTTAACAACATGCGGGTTCGTTCACTAGTTATTATTATTCATCAAAATATGTAAACGCCTCGTAACCGGGTAAACCTCGAAAATAAACCGGATTTCCATACAAAACTATAGGGGAATTCACTCTTCTGTGTATTCGTGTAACTGCATGAGCGTGGGATTTGTTGTTGCTAGCGGTAGATCAAATACACATGCAACAACAACCACAGGCTCGTCTACACTTACGAAGAACACGAAAGCCTTATGTCCGTGAACAAGTTTTTTAGATTATGCAATGATCTGGCGTTTCACAGCACGGGTTACCGCACAACGAAATAAATTTGTATAACTTCAACTCTTCTTCAAATTGTGAACCCAAAAATTGGGTCCCAAACTATTCAGAGACCCACTGAAAAAAAACACACACACACAAAAAATTCGCTAAAATCGATCCAGTCATTTAGGAGGAGTTCACTGACAAACACGTTCCTAAAAATTATATATTCCTACAAAGATAGGTAAAAGTTCCGTGCGTTTGGTAGGCGCCACGCTCATTTTTAAATAGCCCCAATTTTTCTCAATGAGTACGGGACTGATTTCATAAATGGGTGCGTTCAGAAATACATCATGCCAAAGCATCAGTCTCTTTTATTTCTAATCTATAACTGATAGAAATGTCAAACATGCGCAACCACGGTTAAAAGCCGAATTGTAACTTAGTTGCGTAAATACGACATTTCCATCAATTACAGTTAAGAAATAAAAGAGACTGATGCTTCGGCTTGATGCATTTCTGGCGGCACCCTTTATCCATACAAAGTTCCAATACTCTACTGTGAACACTTCCAGAGATAACACCGTGCGACAAAAACCAAAAATTTTTAAAACACAAGTAAAAATCAATATATTCACTAAACAAGGAGCCAAATATAGTATAACTGCGTTTTTAATTTTTCTCTCTGACGTCAGGATTTTTTTTTAAAGGACTTTGAAATTTTCGGGATATGCTTGAATAAAAAAATTACTTAAAAGATTTGGTGCATTATAGAGTAACAGTATGGATATCAATTAAAAGAAAAAATTCTGTAGAATTAAAAAATAATAATTTTTTGGTCTTTATAAAACTTTATCCTTGAATATCCTTAGAAATTTCCAATACTTATTTTTGGAAGAAATATATGTCAAGGACTAATATGTAAACTACCACATCCTCGAATTTCGTCCTTCTAATTTTATTAGTTTTATATAAAAAATATCTTACACTTCTCCTTATAAGGTATTGATATTTAGTTGCAATATACATAAATGAAGATACTGTAATCACTACACTGTACAGCACTCGGCTGGGTATTGGACCAAACCATTTGTTTTTAAGAGATTGAGTCATAGGTAATAAAGTAATTTATCCGTTTTTCGAAGTTAGCCTCCGAAACCGATATGGGCCTTCGAAGTTCGAAATAGGATCTTTGGTAAAAAACTATTTTTATTATTATATGTAAATAAATAAAAAAAACTAAAAATACAGTCGTAGACCGCCTTTTGCTCTTTTTTAATTGTTTTATAACCTTTTTAACGTATACGTTTTAAATTCTTGCACGAAACTTTCAATTTTTTAAAAAAGATTTGACAAAAAAAATATAACGGGTGGTGCCAAAAGCGGCATTCAGGAGTCTGGAGTCGATGTAGGTCGGGATCGACTCCCTGTGAATACCGTTTATGGCCTCTTGGTATGCTGTCCGGTCCAGAGGCTGTTTTATGAACCTCTGGACTACATCCATCAGTTCGTATAGATGAAGACCATCTGTGCCTCGTCGTTTAGGTCGTGTTGAGGCGACATCAGAAGGCATCCAGTCGCGGCCAAGTGTTACGTAGTCTGGCATGTATATAACTTCGTCCACTGCATCCTGCTAGTCCTCGGTAACCACACGGGCCCTGTATAGTTTAGAACCTGCCAGCCAATTTTCTTGTATTTTGCCAACAAATTTTATTTGTCTTTGCCCCAGGTGCTGCCGCCTAGCGACTTGAAGACCGTGGACTATTGACAATTGCGGTTGTATGTATGCGCCGAGAAGGAGAGCAGGCGTCGGAATTGGTGGTGAAAATGGTTGCCCAGGAATTCGTAGGGAATAGTGTTTGGCTCCTTGCAGTGAAGAAGCGAGAGAGTTCGGAGAGGTAACCGTTTACTTTCGAGCACATGTCACCAATTCCATTCCCGGATTCCATTATCAAGCATATAGGAGACAATTGAGACTCCGTCAGGTGGTTGGGGAAGTTTTGATATGTAATAATAAAGCATCAGCGGGGAGAGGACACCACCCTGTGAAACCATCTACTTAATTCTCAGTTTGCTGGTTTTGTTTCTAAAAAGGACTGACGAATATCAATCACTCAGATAATTCGCCGACCACCGTTTGAGTCCCTGTTGGAGAGAGGAAGCCTCAATATCTTCTAGTAGCGTGGAGTGACTGATAGTTTCAAAGCCTTTGACATATTAAACGCAGCTAGGACTGTTCTCTCACAAGGGCGGTTTTGGGTCAGGCCACGAGTTATCTGAGTGTTTATGGCGTTAAGTGCTGTTGCAGTGCTCACTGGTCCCTCGCTGGGGTCGGGTAGTTCGTTTAGTTCGGTGTCTTCGCTACCGTGGAAAGGAGAATTATCGGGCTAGGACTCTCGCTTTTTGGTCCGTTTCCCCAGTTTAAGCAGTGGGACCACTCTTCCATTTTCCAGATGCCCGGAATGGTGAGGGGGCCATAGACAGGTTGAGGAGCTTGGTAAGGTAGCCTGCTCCCACGGGACATATTCTGTCGGGTCCTATGGCTTTGGAGGCTTTCGCCTTCCCAATTGCTACCTGAACCTTCTCGCTGGGGAAAACAGCAATAGGCACACTAGGTGTTGGCAGTTTGTGCAGCTTTCTGGTCACTTGATGTTTGGTTTTGTCCGCCGGGGAATGCAGCGTAAACTGTCGGCTAAAGTAGCTTGCGCATCGCTCCGGGTCCCACGAAACGAAGAGATTTCCTCTCTGTCGTCACGCTTCGTAGAGTTGGACAGTGACTTTACGGTTGACCAAATCTTGCTCTTACCAGAGCGGAAGTTATAAGTCTTCAGATGCTCTTCCCACTTTTTCCACTTATGTACCTTCACGAGTTGTCGAATCTCCGTATTGAGATCCCTGATGCGGAGATAGCCGGGATCGGCCTGACGAAGGTTGTCACGCTCATCGGCTAGAAAAGCTACGTGAACTTCGATTGGTGGGGGGAGGACAGAGAGGGTGCTTTCAGTATCAATCTAAAAAGGACTTGTTGAATAACTGGTTGCGCGTGTTTGCCAGGGCGGGACAATGGCAGAGATAATGTTCGATGCTCTCCACCTCTTCCTCG